TAACCGTTACATATCGGGGCGTGCCAGAGCGCTCAAAGCCATAGCCACACTCAGGTCCAGTTTCAGTCCCCTCTACCACCAGTAGGGCGTCTAATTTCAGCATCCTACATCCTTTTTCTATTTCCTGTTATCCATAATAAATCCATCCCTTACCGCCTAAAGTTAGCGGATGCGCGCTGCTATAGCTGCTTTACTCTATAAATAGCAATATCGGCCTCTACACCTACTCTCAGTCCCCGTCCCCCCTATTTATATTACTTAAGATAGTTGCTTTTTTTATATCTTATTGCTGCTATTAATTGCTAGCCTGCTTTTACTCTTCTAGTTAAATACCAGCTAACTTAATAATAGTACTTTTATCTATAAGAGGCAGTTTATAGGAAAATAATATTATTTTTCTATAATATTTTGCTATTTAAAAAGTAGAAAATTAAATTATAAAATAAAAGCTAATATTTTTAGTTAAATAATATATTATATACTAGATATAGATAAGTAATATTTATTTTATTAAGTTATAATATATTAATAAAACTTAAATTAATATTAATAATATTTTTAATAAATAGAAATAATATATAAAATTATTTTATATATTATTTAATTTTTATTTTTATTTTAGAGATTTTGTATATTTTTATTTTATTTATATAGATATTATATTAATTTAAAGATAAATAAATAAAAGAAGATAATTAAGAATCTTAAATATAAAATAATATAGAATTTCTTTTTATATATTTATAAATATAATAAAATTATATTAACGTATATAATAAGTAAGTATATAATATAAGTAAGTGCACTACTTATACTATACAGCTAAAAGTTATAATTTTCAATTTTCTAAAAGTAGCTATATAATTTTAGGAGTTTTAGGGAATTAAATTTAGATATGTAAATAAAAAAGTTATAAGATAGTATTTTTTTCTAGATTTTTAAAAAATTATTTAGCTTTTTAAAAATAAAAATGAGAAAAAAAACAGTGCGAATAAGACTTTTTTAAATAACCTTATAATATTTTTTTTAAAAATATATAAAAAAATATGCTATTATTATAATTAACATAATAAATCTATATTTTAAATTATAGCTATTTTAAGCCTAATTTAAATTGTTAAGACTTTTTTTAAAAATTGTGTTTTAAGGTGTAAAACTGCTTTGGTATACTTACTTGTATTATATACTTGCTTATTATATACATTATAGAATATTAATTATAAGTATATTTATTAATTTTAATAACTTTATATAATAATAAATAGCTAGTATATAAATTAAAATATTATTAAGAAGATATATAAGATATATAAAAGCTTTATTTATTTTTATATATTAATATAGCTACTAGCTATTTAATTTAAAGTATAAGTTTTATTAATATATAGTTAATATTATTATTTTATTTTAATTTCTTATTTTAGCTACTAGCTATTAAATATTAATAGCAAGCTAATACTTAATATAAATAACTTACTTATTATTCTAACTTTTAATATTATTTAGTTTTTTTTTAGCTTTACTTAATATTATTAAATAAATTAAAGTTATATAGTAATTTCAAATAGTAGAAATAAATAATAAGTACTTCACCCAGCACTAGAAGAAATAGTAACTAAATAATAAGATTATTACCTACTAGTCTCTACCTAAAGCTTCTATTTAACCCCTCTAACTTCAACCCTATTATTTATAGTCAATAATCTTACTATCTACAGTTAATAACCTTAAGATAGTAATCTTATTCTAAGTAATAAGATATAAGAAAGATATCTCCCATTATTAAGAGACTAACTTCCCTTCTAACACTCATCCTATTACAACTAATTTTTAATATAGCAAATTTTACTCAAGCAGCTCTTTCCAGGGATAACCTATTATATCCATATTATAGATCCCAACTCTAACATAATCTCGGATTCTCTTAGAATCTAGAAGACAAATTGGAAAGATAGAAGCTGAATTTCCTCTCGAGCTTCCTTAAGAAAGAAAATCTATTTAAGCTATTGCCACACTATCTGCACCGCCTAAATGGAAGCTAATGGATTGCATTAGCTATTTTTAGATGCTATTTGCTTCTTAACAATAAGATTAGGGTTAATGGGCAAGGAAATCAAATTCTTATCTGCAATCTTATTTTATATATCTAAATAGAAATAGCCGCGCTTTACGACTTGGCCAAAAATATCAACAATCCCGATCTAAGGGGTCAAGTCTTCCTCCAGGATATCGCCGGGGCCTAATACGACCCCTGGTTCCAGGAGCTGTTGTGTTGCGTTGGGTTGGTACGGATGCTAGCTACATAGGGTGCTGGCTAGAGGGGGGATTCGAATGACTTAAACGGGTTATCATCGGCGTTGGGGATCTCGGGGCGTTCTAGAGGTCGGGTCGTGGGAGTTTTCAGTGCATTCATCAAGGTTAGACTGGGTTGAAAAAGTTAGATAGGATTCCGGCAGAGAAGAAAAAAGCAGCTTGAAACCCAAAACTTGGGCCTCGGTAACTGTAATGTGCATGCAATAAAAATGCAGTAAATTTAAATACTAGGTTCCCTTATTAAGGGAACTTTTAATATTATATATAATAAGAAAATATTTTCTAGTAAATAATATTATATTAGCTTAGTATCTTATAATTAGATTTTATATTATACTAAAATATAATTTATAAAGCTTATAGATATTAAGTAAAAAAAACTAAAAGATAATATTATTAAAAAGCTTTTTAATTATAAGATTATTTAGTTAACTTTCTTAAATAATAGTAAAAACTTAAAGTTACTATTAAATAAAAACTCCAAATTACTTTAAGATCTTCTTTATTAAGAAACTATAAGATATAAGTATTTTAAGGCTCTTTATTATAAAAATATTTAAATAATAATTATATAATATTCTATTACTAAATAGTATATACTAGCTATAGCTATTAAGTTTATTTATTATAAGAAAGCTAATAGAAAACTTAAGTTATATACTTTTTATATATTTTACCTTAAATAGCAAATACCTTAATATTATATATATTAATAGTTATTATAATACTATCTTTTACTTTACTTCTACTAAAAGACTTCTTTTTTATACTATTTTTTTTATACTTACTCTTATTCTATATAATAATATATTTAATACTCTAAGCTTAATAGATATATCTATTATATTTAGAGTAAAGCTATTATAATTTAAGTAATATATCCTATTCTAATAAAAAGTATTTAAGTTAAAGACTTTAATTTACTATTAATATTATAAGATAATACTCTTTAAAAATAAATTTATATTATATTTTAAGCTTAAAGATAATATTACTTAGTAGAGTTTTTATTTAAAGTATAAGAAAAAATAGATATTTAAGTTTGCTAGAAGAGGTACTAGAAATACTATAAAAAGTATATTTTATATTTATCTTATATCTAAAATTAATAGTAATATTTACTAAATATTTTATAGCTTTTAAAGTTATACTAACTAAATCCAATTTTTATAAAAGATATATTAAACTTTATTTATAATTAAATAATATATTAAGATTCTTAATTTATAATATTTTACTATACCTACTTATATAAAATTACTAACTTTAACTTTTAAAATACTTTTCTTAAAAAAAAAAAGAAAAATTAACTATTCTAACTATTTATATATATAAGCCTTATATATAATTCTTAAGTTACCTTAAATATAATACTTAATAAAATATAAATAAACCTAGTATTAAACCTAGAAATTATTAAGCTTAAATAGTAATATATATAGCTTAAGTAAGATTAATATTAAATTAAAAGTTATAAAAATAAAATAAAAATTTAAAAGCTTATTAATTAAATTTATATAAAATATATCTAATAAAAATAATAAATTATAAAAAAATATTATAAAAATTACTTTTATTATTATCTTACTTAAAATATTAAAAAATAAACTTAAGAAAAAAAAAATTATATATAAAGCTTATTATTAATATTATAATTTTAAAATATATTAAATTAATAAAAAATCTCTATTATTAGCCTAATAACTTAATTAAAAATAAAATCTTATAATAAAAAATAAAAACTATTAATTTTATAATAACTCTTTATAATAAAAAAAAATAATTAAATAAAATTATATATAGTAAAAAACTAAAGCTTATTTATCTATTAAAATAAAACTACTTAAAATAAAAATTAACTTTTTATTTAATTCTAATTAATTCCCTCTTCTTATATATATAATATAATATTCTAATTATATTAATAATAAGTAACTCTCTTATAAAAAATATACCTTTATATATTACTATTTAATTATTATAAATAACTATTTTAATAATTACTATCTAATTATATAAAAATAAATTAAATAATATAATAAAATAATTTAATATAAATATCCTAAATATAAAAACCTTAAATTACAATACTTAGACTATTTCTAAAGCTATATTTAGAGGATTTATAGTATCATACTGCAGTCATCAAAACAGGTAAAGCAGAGGCAACTGTATAAGGCAAGACGCCGATAAATAGTTAAGGGAAAGTGCCAACAGTAGGATAGAACGCAGCCTCGGAGGTTAGAAAACGCTTATAGAATAGAACATGTCGAGAAGTCGCGCAAGAGCCACAGTATATTTTACTCTACTATGACTGTTTACACCCTGCGATGCCCTTATTAAATATATATGATTTTACAATAGTCCGAAAAAGCGGCCTAAATACCCGAGCCGATGTTGATTAATAATGTTGTGAACCGCCGAGGAACCCCGCTATATAGACTCAAACAACTAGTCATGATCGGAAAACTGCTCAGTCCTTACCCAACATTATTCAGCAACACGCAGCTAGCGAGAATCGTCTTTATAGAAATTGCGTAAGAGACAAGTCAGGAAATTTAATTAATGATAGTCTGAAAATATAAAACACCCAATTCTACTAATGTCCTTTAATAACATAATAATAACAAAATCTTGCCAAAGAAAAAAAGAATGATACCCGAAAAGCGGGTATGGGTGATGTTACATTAGCTTCTGTTGGGAAGCTGGCTGTTGACAATAGACAACTCAGATATTGCCTGGACAGCCTTAATAAACGGCTTGGGCTTGCCGTCAAAAGCATAAGTGAAAAAAGATGTCAGGGTCTTTATCAATACCTTCTCAAGTTGCTGCGCATCGATAGTACTAATTATGGAGCTAATTTGAGCCTTGACCTCGGTAGGGAGTCCCAGAGCGGTAATGAGGAGAGGTACGTCGGTGAATGCGCCGTGAACTATCCCCGCGACGGCGAGCTCGGCCTTGGGGCCTCGCAGGTTCTTCCAGAATGTAACCCAAGTAGCGTCCTCGGTGCGGTGATTCGGTCGGCCAAGCATGAGGAAAGGCTGCTTCGGGCCCTTGGAGAGCGCGGGCTTGACGAATCGACCGTCCAGGTTGGCACCGCTGCGAAAGCGTGAATCTGAGAGCATGGCCACAGCGGCGCTGGAACCACCGAGCGAGTGTCCGTAAACGACAATGTTGTCGAAGTTAATCTTTCTAGGCAGTCCCTTAAGAAGCGGAGATCGACGGGAGGCATTTTCAAGCTAAAAGAGGACAAAAGACAAGTCTTCGGCTCGCACCTAGAAGATTTGGTTAGTTTACTTTATAGGGTACGCTGCAGATGTCTTACCTTGGTTAACTTTGTCAGATCATCTTCCTTCTCTGGGATGTCTGCAGTCTCGATGATAGAGCCGTCTGGGAATTCGACGACGGCGGTATCGTAGGGGTGGTCGACGGTAATAACAACGTATCCACGGCTGGCAATCAATCTGGCTATATTACTGTAGATAAGTTAGGAGTTTCCAGATCCGGGTAAGAAGATAGTAAGAGGGTACTGAGTGCTCTTTAACTTGCTGCTGTATCCCTTAATGCTAGCAATATCACAGACCCCCATTATAAGCTCTGCAAACGTCTCGTTAGAGAGGCCCATTGCGGCAGCCTGTTATCCGTAAACCTCTGCGGTAACGGGTGGCATATAAGAAGCCTGCTTTATTATATAAGATTTCTCGTCGTCGATTAGCCAAAATAGAGACACCATAACCCTTCGCTTCTATCTGGCTTTCTCGGGAGAGTAAGGGTCGATTCGACTTTTATCGGTCATAGACTGAACCTGTATGGCGACGGGGTGCGGGCCGCTTGGGTCTGGGAACGAAACGGCGCCGACGCCCGCGATAGCGGAGAGAATGAGACTGAAGGAGCGTATGGTGATTGAGGCAGATAAGAGTCTAAGTATTGTAGAAGAGATTGAGCGATTGTAAATGAAGGAGGTGAGAGAATGAGGAGCGATAGAAGCTGTGATGATATTGCAATTAATTTTCGTTCCATAGAGTATGTTTATATAGATGCACCGTCAACCTGAGATAGCGTAAGCATCGGCACTTGGACGCGACTAGATGCATAAAGTTGAAGATGACGCCGACACGCTATTCCCAATCTGGAGGCCATCGAGCGAAGAGCCTTGGATCGCCGGGCCCATGCCGCACGGCTCCGTGAGCTCCCACAACTCTTACATGAAAAAACGGTCATGCTTATGACGGCGGAGTAGAGCTGAAGCTCGGCGCTGAGGCTGAGCCTGTCAGTATTGCGCCTAAATGCTCACTAGTTTGATCCGGGAATAGATCCATAATGCAACTCTGTTCCTCCGTCTACTGAAAGTGCATGCGAGCCAGGCTAATTATTTGCCCGCTGTATAGCTAAGGCAAAAATTTGTGCCACCCTGAGAGTTAATCACTGTTATGAGGCCAACGAGGTCTATGGATAATGTGCACGAAGTATTACTAGCTATTGACTACCTAGTAGGTGAGGGGATCTAGGGGTTGTAGGGGCTGGCTGCCTGAGGCTACAACTGCCGCATAGGCGGCCGCGGGCTTCCTTTAACGATCACAACGAGGCCGAGACGCACAATTCGTCACCAATAAACAGTGTTTACAAAAGTTCTGCCCCAAAGCTTAATTGCTCAGTCCGGTATAAGCCAGGAGTTCGGGGAGCTCTTGTGGAAACTCCTGGTTATAGATATGTAAGTTTCAGTCAGCCAATATGGACAACCCACACCCTCCGAGGCACTAGAGACTAGTTTGCGGTCGGCCCGTTTCGAAAAATCAAGAAGTCCCGATTTCTTGAGAAGGAAAAAGAGACTCGAAAACAGAGGAGCTTAGTGAAGTCATCTGACAAGGATAAGTTAGAGGCATCTTTCCCGGAAGTTGCCCGTTTCATAAGCTGGCCTCTCATTTACATCCTTCACATACGACCATAGCTCTTAGAAAATACGGGATCCCGTCCGCTCTCCCTTAGTCAAACTGAGAAGCGGCGAATTAGTACTCGGGTCGGTGACGACCGGAGAATCCTCGCTATTATATGTCTTTTTGTCTTTTCTTTTTGCGTATAATTCTAACAGTTTGTTCTACGTGATGCTTAAAGAAGCCAAGAGTCTGCGGTATTCTAGGATAACCTATTATGAAGTAGTATATATATCGCATTAATGGCCACGGCAAAAGTGGAATGAACACTCCGCTAATGCGTAGTGTAACGAAGGCCTATATTATGCGCTTATAGAGAAGCTATTTACATGATGTATGAGAATGGAAATGTTGAATTCTTATTATTCTCCATTGTCTTTAAAGCTATTCTCGGCTCTGGTTTTTAGATCGCGAATCAGCTGTTGGTAGCCGAGGTGGCAAGCGGGAATAGACTTTCGACTCCTCTACTTCCTTCCTGTTCATCAGACATTATACAAAATCACGCAAGTTCACCCTATTCTCCTCGAGAAGGGCGCCGACGTCGAGTCCAAGGATGAAGATGGTCAGACGCCGCTATGGTGGGCCGCCCAGAATGGGCACGAGGCCATCGTTAAGCTGCTTCAACGAAAATCTTAATAGCTACAAGACCATACGCTTCCCCCCTTTCGGAAAATAGTACTTGCATAGCCTGTTACAAGCAATAAGAGCCTTCAATAGCTTGATCTTGCCTTCCCGAACCTATTCCTACTATAGATGGAGAAGCAGTGCTTACTCCCTCCCCCCCAATTATTCTTTTTATGTTTAGTCAAATAGGAAAATGGTTTCGCACATAACTGTAGCTTTGATTAGTCAGAGCCTATACTAATTATTACGGCGCTCTGTACTTTAAATTGAAGATGTATTTATATGTAAGGATATATCGCCACCTGCTATTCCTCCCATGTACCGCATTACCATGGCCGCCGCCATTCTTACCCGTATCCCTTGCGCTGCGTTTAAACCTGCTGGTCGTTAACGGGCTGGGGCTCCGCCGGCAGGAACCTCGACTGCTGCCGCAAGTGCTCGGGGGTGCCCAGCGCCGTCATGCCCTTTTGGCCGAAATTCCGTCTGGCGATCTTGCGGCCGCAGTTCTCGCAGAAGTGGCTGACATGGCTTGCCCAGTATAGCATATAGGGCGCGACGACGCCGAAGAAGGAGATGAAAAAGAGGACGACGGCGACGGTACTACAATGGGGGGTTAGCGAAGTAAACGGAGAAGGGCGTGGAAGTGGCCGTACTGGGTCAGCCATGATGGTTCTTTCTTGACGCGGGTCATAGCTCGTCGCTCGCAGAACGGACAGTCGACGGTGTCGCCCTGGTCGCCGAGCAAATGGAGAGGTATAACAGTACCCGATTGTGGCATCATGTTCATATTCTGTCCCGAGCTATAGGCTTCGTTCAGCTGCGGCCTGGGGGGCTGCGGCTGCGTCTGCCCTTGTGTGCTATTCTGGTAGCCGCTGAATGCCGGCGGCGGCGTTATGGGGTTCGACATAAGGGACGGTTCGACCGGTGTCACAGCCTTCTCGGGCACCGTGTTGTCGCACTGGGGCACGACCTCGGGGAGGTTCTCGTCGTCGGTGGGTCTCCTATGAAATGCGATTAGCGACTCGTCGCGCTCTGCCTCAACCCCGCGGGCCACGCACTGGACTTCTAGGCCCTCTGCTGCGACCGGTGGCTTGTAGGCAATCTTCTCATCCGAGCTGGCGGCGTTTGCAGGCGCAGGCACTGGCGTCGACGTGGACGGCGGGGAGACAGCGATGGCTGAGGTGGGCTGTGCTGGGGTCTGCGATTGCGACGGCGGTGATGGGGCCGACATGATCCTTTGGTGTTGAAGAACGGGCGACGCAGACGGCTGCAGACAGTTTAAAGAGGGTAGCAAAAGACTGGACCTAATTGCAATCCGCAGAGAGACAACAAAGGTCAGTGATTCTGGCGCTTTTGCAGAGATCCAGAACAAGGGATGTGACAGCAAAGGAAGCTTCATTGCTCTGCTTTTCCTGAATAGTGAAAGCGAGATATTTGGTCATACTAGCCGAGGCAGTGCTAACTGTGTGGCTTGCCGCTCACCGCGAAAGTACGGAGTTGCAACTTCGGATTTTATGTCCCTGGATATTGAATTCAATTTGTTACCGAGGGCGATGCAGCCACAACCCTCTAGAAAAGAATATAAACGTATCCTGGAGGTACGATCAACGAGTAAGAGGATATCTTCGTGTTTGAGGAACGGCGGGTTAGATTAGAGTGGAGCAATACTGTACGATCTATGTAGCTACTCGGCGCTGGCGCTGGGAATGTGTGAAATGAAATGGTATGTACCAGAATAAGCCACCACAACGTGAAAATGCCCCGTGAACGTTCGCACTAGCGAGGCAAACCGATCTGGGCCCGTCAAGCCGTAGTGCATGATGGGATTCGCCGTGCGGGGCTTGCCGACCTCAGCACCGACAATATGCCGCTGCGTGATAGCCTTGTTAATTGCGAGATGCGCAAAAGCAACCGTCTTGCTCGCCTCTTTGGGACCCTGAGCGGCTACGGCATCCGCCAGCTCATCCTGCTCCTTGCAAAACAGCAGCAGCAAGATGCGGCGGCCGTCCTACTTGTAGTAGGCGATGCTACTATACAGTAATATGTATAGGGCCAGGCGGTTGATATTAAGGGCGTTAAGGGCCGTGGTCTGGTAGTTGCGACGGTAGGCGAGATCATAGTTGCCGAGCACGACGTGGACGCGCGGCATGGCGTCGCTAAGGCAGCCGACGAAGCGGTAATACGCAGATAGCACGTCCGTCGGCTGTATTGTGCGGCTTGTCAGCAGGTCGCCGCACACCACGACCCGCCCGACCTGGTGCCGCTCCGCCTGGGCGACGATCCACCGCGCCGTCTGCCGCACCCGGTCCAGGTCATAGTGCTTGAAGTAGAGGTCGCTGAGGAGCAGCCATCGCACCGTGCCGGCCGGCGACCCTCGCATGGCTCGCGGTGGAAGGGGTGACAGATGCTGAGGGGGGTTGGGTTGAAGAGGAGGATACCGGCCGCTCTCCGATGAGCTCAACAAGAAGTTTGGCGGTCACCAGAGCTAAATCCGCCATAGCGATGCACACGAAAAGCTGATTGGCATTTGAGCCCTGTGACCTGCGTTGGCTTGAGGGAGACGACGGAATATGCCGAAGGACCTGCTTGTAATCATCACACACGTTCCTTCGTACATTCACACACTCACGCTCGACGATCACAGCCAGCGGACCACAATCTCTCATGTTGGTCCTGGCGTCAGTATGATCACGACTCTAGACACGACGCAACAGCGGTGCAAGCCTCCGTTGAACTTCGATTACCAGGCTCCCTCTCAGCAACCCGCCTTCTCGAACCTGTGGTCGTCCTCGCCGCCTCAGCCTAGCTGGCAGCGGTCTGTTCGTCGAAAACCAGCAGCAACCTCCCATGAAGCCGACCATTATGGCTGGAAAGCGGCCGCAACAGGGCCGCCGCGCGAGCACTAGCAATGGATCGTCGATGGCACCCTACGGCTCAATGCCCGTTGCCACCACTTCTGCAGGTAGACACAGCCCTTCGTCTATGACCGGTATCCACGAATAGCAGGGCTTACTCAATGTTGCCCTAGATCTCTTGAGCATGAGCCGTATGCAAACTACTTCGGCTGGTTACGCAGACCCTTTCTATCCCACAGCTGCCTCTCCCCCCAGTGGTCACTTTGCACCGATCTCTGCGCCCCCCTACGACACCATGAGGTATGCCCCTGCCCCAGCCCCAGTGCAGGCAGCCACCTTGAGTATGGCTCCCGAGGCTGACTCGTCTCGGAGCCAATCGTGAGTTTTCTCTGACTGCTTGGTCAACTCAACTGAGACAACTATCGGTTGCCCGACCACGCCGCACCTCAAATTGTTGATATCAATCCCAGGTCGCTTCAGGATGAGCGGAGATGCTTTGCTGATGCGCTCGATGCCAGCTATGGCATGCTCGCCATGAGCCACGAAACCCTTCGGAACACCTGCGACAACCGCCACAATCGGTCGTCCATGGATTCCATCAGCTTCCCCTGCATCTCCACCATTTCTTCGACTGGAAACTTCAGTTCTTACTACCAGGGAGACTCCGTGTCCGATTATTCCACCGCCGGTTCAGACATCAAATCGGACAATTCACGGACTTTGCCTCGGCCCCAGGGCTTTCTTGCCTCCCAAATCCCGCCCGCCCCCCAGTCAATGATGGGCCAGTTCAGGCCCAAGGTGTCGTCCAGCACACAAAAGAAGCACAAGTGCAAGGTCTGCGACAAGCGATTCAGTCGCCCAAGCTCGCTGCGAACTCATTTGTACAGCCACACTGGCGACAAACGTACGTCTCCTGGGAGGCCACTTAAATTTTTTCGTCGTAATTTACTGACGATGACGCAGCATTTGCGTGCGAGGCTGAAGGTTGTGGGCGGCATTTCTCCGTGGTATCTAACCTGCGACGCCATCGAAAGGTGCACCGAGGCGACGCCCGTTCCAAGGCACGCTCCGAGGACCACCATTCGGACTGAATCAAAGGATCCGGTCACTTTTGAAGGGACACGCACGGACGCGCCGACCAGTAGCTGTATACTGAGTGTGCCCTCGTCAATCCCCCGAATGTGATATCGCCTGCGGCGCATGGAGAAGGTAGAGTCGCCTACGTGGTCGCCTTCGCACTTGTCTCAAGCCGCACTCATGGCTCACCCGCCTGGCCAGCTTTGGTGGCTCGAATACTTGAGCCGCAGCGGGAATAACACGACCGGCAATAGCGCTAGGCTGGACTCGAGCCAGTGCTCACTCGGAGAAGATGTACGTCACGAGACCCTGGGGATCTAGCACAGCGGCAGCTACGCCCGCAAGAACGAGCTGGGCAGGTAAGGGGGCGAAGGCGATTGTCATTATAAGAGATGAAATATCTCAACCATCCAAAACTTCATCTCCAGTCCATATTCCAAATAACATGGGCAATGTCCCTGGCTGTGTTAATGGTGTCAATAACGCAGCAAAATATCCCATTGTTTGACGATGTGACCACCTCATATGGCATAAACATGCCAGATGGGGTGCGACGCATGCCAGCTGGCTCGGCGGTCAAGCTGTCAGTAGAGGTAGTGCGGTGCAGACCAGGTTCTTCGAAACTCCCAGAGTTACCGTACCAGGCTGAGTCTGCATCGGCATCCATCATATCCTCCTCCTCTTCTTCGCCGAAGAACCTACCCAACACTTCAGGTGGACGAGCCGCCTCCTATAGTGAGAATGGCGAGACGAGATAACTGTTGAAGACGCTAGAGCTGTAGAGTATCGCCGTTTCTGGGACTTCTAGTATATGTTCTCGGTGCTTGAGCGTTGTCGACGGAAGCATCGCGATCATCTTTCCATCGGAGGGTAAGGAGTTCTTGCCCTCCTTCGCCTTCTTCCTCATCAGGGGATCCGGCTTTCGTGGCCTCGCCAGCTTCATCATGATGCCGTCGTCGGAATTACTGTCGCCATTTGGGTTGGTAACGGTATTGATATGGTCGTCGTCGTCGCCGCCCTTAACCTCGACGGCGATACATTGCTCGACTTTATCATTGAAGTGGATGTGTTTTCGCTCGACGCTTGGCGATGAGATCCCAGAGGACGCTGACGATGGCAGCATACTAGAGGTATCGCGGCTCATTGATGTCGAAGAGAAGGGGAACATAGAATGGTCCGTCGTCGCTGCCCGGTCAAAAGAAGGCTTTGTTAACCACCGGCTGTCTTTCTCCCTCGCTTGGGCCACTTCTGTTGCCTGCTGAGGTAACAATGAGGATGATGATGACAATGGTCTCTGCAGTATAATATCTGACATGCTCCTTTTCTTCAGGATGGGCTTCCTGTTAATGTTGACTAGTGAGTTGGACTGGAACAATGAGGCACTGGAGGGCCCAGTCTGTGTACAGTAGATCTTGCTCGCACCCGGTTGAAGGGGCCCATACAGCCAATTCACATCACCTTTCAGCCTGCACAAAGTTAGCTTGATACTCGCGCCAAATTCCGCCATGTCCCTACCAGTTGAGCGTCTCGGGAGACACAGTTTTCAGGTTGTTTTTGTATTTTGTCCATGTTCTCCAGGACGCATTCTCCAAACGGGCGCTCTTGGGAGACTCTCCTCGGCAGGAGGTTATATATTTCCATGATGACCAGATGTCTTCCTCCTTCCAGTCATGAGAAAGGTAGTCGACATTCCTCCACGGCTGGGCGTTGATCGCACTGTCATCTTCAGCGCGCTCATGGAACTCTCTTAATTCTGGAGTCCCCGGTGTTGATGTATCAGCGGGGTCATCATAGTCGACAGGCGAGACGCTGTACGAGTCGCCTGCCATGAGATTTGGTCCGGGTTCCAGGCTATCGTCCAGTGCCACAAAGAAATTGCCTTTCAGATATTGAGGCAACAAAGAGTGCTCTTCCGACGGCTCGACCAAGTGGATTCCCTCGTCGTGACCGGGCGGGATGGAAATATCCCGGGCGGGTGTTGAGGAGTAGGACATACCCATTGATTCGCCGGAGATAGGAGGCGACGAGGAAGCTAAGGGGGTGCGGGGTCTGGATGTTCAACTTGGGTCTGCTCCAGACCGAGCTGCTCGACTTGAGGGCGAATGAAGATCCGGTTTCTTGAGTCTTTGGAATTCGTCCCTGATCCCAAGGGTTGACACTACCGCGTTTGTTACTTTTGGGCGAGAAGAAGAAGGTGAAGTCCCAACATATTGAGCACCTGACGTCGTGTGTCTCATCATTTTCCAGTTAGCAGGCAATCAGTCAGTAATGGTCCGTCTGGGAGACGAGAGAAGAGCAGCTGCGTCACGAAAGCGATGGAGTGATGTCACAATGGCACCTTCTGCGGGGTATTATTACAATGGAAGCCCGTCCTCTGCACCTCAGCATCTTCACATGCCAACAACTCCCAGATATCAAGGATTTAATTCTGGGAAACTCATATTGCGATATATATATCAGTCGTAGCCGTAGGGTCAGGGTTGAGGTTGTGCATCGTCGAGTCGGTGAAATCCAAGACGCAGTCGGAAAAAGACAAACAAATCCAGCAAACAAGGCGACGGCAAAATACCACGTCTACCAAATCATCACATCTCAAATCATCACCTCGCCAACATTATGAACTCCTCCAGCCGTGCCTCCGCTCCGGCGCCTCTAGACCTGCACCGCGCATCGCGCACTTCCTCTTCTACCTCTGACCAGGGCAGCGCCGGCTACTTCGACTCGCCCGCCTTCGTTGACGATAAGGTACACTCTAGAACCCCAATACCTCCCCGTAACAATCTAACAGGGATCCAGCAACGCACCGGCTCGTACTCCAGTCACGTGTCCGTTCTCGACTCTGCAACATCACCGCCCAAGTCAGCTCACCCTTGGATCAAGCCCGCGGCCACTGTCAACGT